TCAAGAATGGCATTGTTTTACTGGCAGCCTTCAACCGTATTTCATTAAGAAGCTTGCTGATGGAGAATTTTTTTTTTTTTCTTGCCAGTTTCTATTTTCCCTGCAGTTGGGAAATACATCATCTCACTAAATGAAATGTTTTCAGAATGCATGTAAATGAGGCACACATTTATTTTAATTCCTCATGATACACTTTAAATCCAAAAAGTGCTTTTAAAGCCTGAAAATTAGCTATATACATGTATGGATATAGCTAGAATGTCCTCATTTAAAGCATTTATCATTGAACAGTAGTAACCAAGACAAATTGGAGTTTCAAGACTCCTTTGAAGAATATACCCTGCACCTTTTTGGTAGACAATAAAGAGCTGCTTCTGTACTGTTCAGATTAAAATACTCTCCAAAGGCAAATCAGAGAATATTTTATTTAAGAATTGTTTTGTGATCTAGTTCAAACTTCCCTCTCAAAGCAGGGGCAGCTACAAGACGTTCAGGACCTTGTCCAGTTGGGTTTTAAATACCTCCAAGGTCTTGGCAACTTGTGTGCACAGCAGATGTCTCGGTGTATATCTTGGGTACATAGATGGATGCGTCTGTGAACTGATGTGCACTTCTATAGACCCCATCCCAGCTTTTGCTTGCTTCAGATGTTTACAAATCATCGGTAACTGAAATTTTGATCATTCCTCAGTAAAACAGGAATCTGTCTCAGAAATGGCTGTGCTACATTGATGAAATAAGCACAATTTTCTCAGGAGGACTTAACAGTGCTAAATTTGTGCATTTTCCTTCGACTCTTCCCTTTGCCAAGCATCCTCATCAGCATTTTGTAGGCAAAGTTCCAGCTTTGTCCTTAGCATAATGGTAGGAGAAGTCCTTGGATGCTAACACAGCAACAGCCCATGAGAACCATCCCTCTTAAAGATTTCTATCAATTCCTGTATTATTGGATAGAGCTTGGCAGCAGACCTCAAAAGCATCTAAAGATATAATTCCTCTCCAGAAACATAGTCATTTAAATTCCCAGAAGAATCAGGGAAGTTTAAGTGTGAAGTAGTGATTATGGACCTATAATAAGTACAATCTGGCGCAAAAATGATAAGATCTGTGCAAGTACACACATACACGAAGAAAAATGTCAAGAATGTTTCCAATATTTTAAAGGTTAGAGCAGGGCATATTTTGGTATTTCTCCTTCGAAGAGCTTTGGGATGAGTCAGGAAACCAGAGTTACTCCATAGGTCTCAGTGGTTGGAAACATCATAGTATAGTTCAAAAGAACAAGCCACTATAGTATAGTTCAAAAGAACTCTTTGCTTTCTCATGATTTTCAAAAGCTGCCTGCCAGATGATCTCCTAACCCAGCCCAGTAATCCTTTGTGTCCATATTACCCCTGGGTGAATTCCTCAAGATGTTTCCTGCTCCTAATTACAGAAATTTGTATTTGAATTCCCTTTGTGTATGATCTTGTCTCTTATTCTTTTTTTTTTCTTCTTCTTCTTTTTTTTTGAGACTACAGAGGCTAAGACAGGGATTTCTTTTTGGAACATCTAACACCAGAAAACATTGAGGAAAAAAGAAAGTTTTAAAGTCTGAAACATCAGGCTAGAGAAGACAAAATGTTATCATGAATATCCAGTTGAAAACTAGCCAAGGAAACTCACATTTCGAGTTCCCTGCCCAGCCATTAGGCTCAAGGACATGATCTTGAGCAATTTCTGGGTTTTCTCCTCTGGAGTTTCAATGTTGCATGGGGTCCAAATGGCTCAACACAGTGGTGGATAAGCAAAAAAAAAAAAAAAAAAAAAAAAGGAAATGCAGCCCCAAGAGCTTATTCTCTGATTAGACAAAAAATACGTGGGGTTTTTTTTTTTCATTTTAAATATACAAAGGAAAACTAAAATGTGCTTAAAGTCCATTCATGAATGGGAAAATGAGTCAATGCAGAGGATTAGATAATTCATTTATAAATGATTTGGTGGTGTCTGAAGAGCCTTTACAGCCTCAGATAAGGAACAGCTGGCCTTCTTGGCAGGGAAGAAGAGGTTTTGTCGCTTCACAATTAACTCATATTCCTCTGTTATACATATGTTTTGTCACATCTAGTAGAAACTATTTACAGAGTCTTGGAACTTATCTCATCAACCCTGAAAATTCAGCAGCATATTAATTTCCCTGTAGGATATTAATTTGGTTTTAGATTTCTTATGAATGTTGACAACTACATATACTCTCTAGGCCAAGCCAGCTGAGTTTACTGATTTAATTTGGGCCTCTAGAGTCGATAAATGGAAGTTTTTGACAATAATGAGCTTAGATATGAGAATAACCTCACAACAAGGGGTTAGGTTTCCTTAAAGATGTAAATCTTAAATCAATTTAAATTTCACCATTTCTGTATATACTCCAAAATGAAAATAAGAGAGGCACTTTTATAATCTCCTGTCCAGAAAGTCTTTTTTCCAAAGGATACCATCCCAAACAGAAATACCATAGCATGTGGTAAGCAATAAATAACTCACATAAAAAAGCCTGAACAGTGCAAAAGGCCAGTGTGGACACTCTCTCTCTTCCACCAAGGTCTCCTCACACAATTCTCTTGCTCTTAGGGATCCAGAGTTCCTTGCACATACTTTAAAGTCCCTCTAAACAATATATATATGTAATATATATGTACAATGTGAGACAGAGTCCTTGTTCGCATCACCCATGACTAGTTACTGTATTTCCAAAACCTTTCTTTCTGAAACATTTCTAGCTGAGATACCTGCAAAGAGAAACACCGTCTGGTTTTGAACTTTGTGAGCTGCCATGCAGAAGAGCCTCGTCTTGGTGTCCCATCATGCTACAGATTTTGCCTCGTATGCATCACATTTGCCCTGCGCCCCTAAAAAAATATGAATCCTCATTGTTAGAACAGTGCAACTAAGATGATAAGGACTGCAGTTTCAGATGTGTTTTGAAAGGAAGTTAGACAGAAGAGAGATGTATATCCCACAGTAGAAACAGTCTACACAAGACTCTATGAAAGAACATGGGCAAATATAGCAGTAAGAAGATATAGAATTAATGGAAAACCATTACTGACTGGCTAGTGGTTGGCGCCTACATCCATGTTTAATTCATGGATAAAGTAGCCAATTAAAAATGCATGATAGACTCATGACAACCAACAGCAGAATGTATTATTATTAATGGTAAGTGTGGATAAATGGAGAGAAATAGCTTGGATTTTGGTAGCTGGGGCACCAGATCTCCCTGCGTGGTAGCAGGGCCCCAGTACAGTCAGAATTGCTATGTACCACACCTCCCTGTATGGTGGGCAAGGCTGAAAGCCTCACAACCCAGAAGAGAGTAAGGATGACATTCTGGAAGAGCTGCTGTGGCCAAAAAATTGGCAGCTGCTCCCTGGAGACCCTGTAGTTGCTTGAGTGATAGCAGTGGTGAAGTAGGACAGCAGGGCAGAGGGGCAGAACCTGCAAGAGAAGCCAAGGTAGAAGCCAAAGGCTATCCAGCTCAGAGGTCTGGGGGCCTGTTGACCTCTGGGGGCTGTTTTCAGTATGAAGTCTCAAAATTTCTGGTGCACAAAGGGAGACCAAGGCCTCCTTCTTTAGTGCTAGAGCCCTCCTTGCATGAATCATGTGCATCAACCATGATGAGCACAGTGAGCCAAGGGAGCAGATGCAGAGATAACACAGCAGGCTCTTGTGTACCAGCAGTTCCAGCAAATGGATGCTTTGAACCACAAAGGTCCCATGGATGATGGAGATTTGTGTAGCACTGTTTCCTTTGGCACTATGGTCCACCACAACAATCACCAGAAGCTCCAAAAATAATAATCCTTTCCGTCATCATTAATTAAGCAATGAGAAGGACAAGGACATTCATTTTTTCCAGTGGAAGCTGTGAACACCTTTCTTGGCTGCAACGCCAGGCACTTGTAATGTAATATTCGTGCTCAGAGAGTGTCCCTGTAGGACAGAAAGGTCCAAGTGCCTATGAATTAGTCATTCCCATCAGTCTAATCTCTGAAAAGTGCTATGTGAGGGTGCAGTGATTTCCAAGAGGTCTGCAATCACTCCACACCACTGAGGATCAGAGACAAGCTAATGGGAAAGATAACAATTTCCAGAGTCTCCAAAGCTCACAATCGCCTGGACAGATTCCTCCCCTCAGCCATTTTTTGTTTCTGGAAAACAAAAGCAAAATCCTATCAAACTAGAACCAGGCAACTGTTTATTAAAAATGAGCCTGGCTTCTGTTCTGAGTGTTTCCTCTGAGTGTTAGCCACATACAAAGATGTTTTTGTTTGATGTTTGAGGCAAGTGTTTTCTCTGGAGCCTGTGCTGGGGCGGGAGATTGGGATAACCTGCTTCCTAGGAGACTGGAGAGCTCTGGTGTGTGACAAGCTAAGGAGAAAACAGTCTTGGCACTTGGACAATCTTTCCAAGAATATCAACAGGCTCCAAAGGAAAGAAAGAAAACAACCACCTACTCCCCAGGAAGTGTCCATACGAGAGAGAGATTTAAAGCCTTTGGGATCAGGAACAAATAACTGTTTAAAAATAATTCTAGAATGGTATTGGGCTGACCTGAAACCTGTATTTGTAGACGTGCAAGTCTAGCAAATTTCAGCATATTAAGCCCATCCCCAGTAATTGACTTTTCCAGTTGATGGTGATGAATTAGGGAAGAGCTCCTTGGTGAAATGAGACTGAAGAGGACTGAAAGCTCAAATTCAACTTAATTGTGTATCTGACGTGTGAAGAGAAAACAATACTCACAGAACTTGCTGTCCAGGGAAAGGATCATTAAGAGAACAAAGCCCTTGTGACAAATGTTTGTCACGTCATTTAAGGCATGTTTGGGACAGATATTATGAGAGTCTACATGGAATTCAACCACAAAATAAGGAGGAACAACTGCAAAAAGCACCTTGTCACCATAGGCAGAGTGAATTCGCAAGAATAGTTTTGCCCTCTGGCCACAGCGCTCACACTCACTTGTTGTAGAGGACAATGTCTGGTCTCCAGATGAGCTCCGAGGGGATTCGGATGGATGTGACATTTTCATATTCTTGGGGGTCCCAGCGGAGCTTGTAATCATGCCACTCCTGCCAAAAAAAAAAGGCGGTTAAAACTGGGACAGTTCAGACTAAAAAAAACGAAAAGGAATATGGAAAAGCACATATTTTGGTGCACTCACCTGCTTCACCCACACATTTGTGGTCATCATTTGGTTTTTCTCATCCTGAAATACAAGATCAGATACTGGTTACAGAAGCAGACGAAGCGGCCCAAGGAACTCATTAAATTTCTGTTAATTGTACTTCATTTCTGTGATTACAAATCACCTTCACAATAAATGTAAGTCCCATCTTGGAAATAAAAAGCAGATGTTTCTGTCATTTAACATGGGAGAGGGCACAGCTGCCTGATACCACAGAACAGCTGAGCCTGCACCTAAACAATCTTGCGAGCAGACGGACTATAATTTATTGGGATTTTTCTGGGTGCTGATGGATTCAGCCTACGATGACGGGGAAGGGCAGAGAAAATGGCTCCACAACTCAGCTTTGACCTGACCACTGAAGGAAGGGGATTGTTGGTGTATAGATATCTATCAATGCTGAGTTTCATCTGCAGGCAGTGTTTAGTATTTCTACTGTGAAACGTTATCCACGAACATAGGTCTGGAAACATGAATCTCAGCAGTATTTCTCTTTCTACCAAATACATGAACTTTGAGCACTATGGATTGGCTTTTCTGAACAAACCCAAGCTACTCTGCTGACATGTAACCTTAGGACAGCCTGGTGTATACCCATGCTGCAGTTGGTAGGATTTTTCTACCAACTACTACCCCTTCATAAACAACCTCTGTAATAAGGTGAATTACGTGGGGCAAAGCTTACTCCTGGTCTGATTTAAGTGTCACACCAGAGCTCAGAGCTTATTTGTGTCTTTGATTATTTTGTCGCTTCCTTTGGTCTGGCATCAAAACCAGCTCAATCGACAGGGCTCATTTGGAAGCAAACTGCTCATCATTAACCTCGCTCATTAATTTTAAGTGTTAAAAGCCAGGAGATTCATGGCAGAGCTATGCTCCCTCCTTGTTCAGCCTACTCATTGCAGTTGTGGCATCAAGTGTAAAACCTGATCAGAGATATCCTCATCTGGGGATTAGGGACCAGAAGCCCACGGAAGAAGGAGGAATACAAAATACATTTAAATGAGTAACAAAGAAAGGAAAGAATGCGGCTGCTTCCTGGGTTGCAGGTGAGAGATCAGAAATGCCACTGGAGGAGGCTGCCATGCCCTGGACCAGTTCTCGAGCATCTGCTTCTCCTACCACTTTGTAATGCAACATCTGAGATCCTCCACCATGGCCTCTGCGCTGGGAATGCCATTCTGGCAGTTGCTGCTTTTTACAGGAATTTTCCCCCCTGGCTGGGTGCAGACCCTTGGTGGAAGCTCCTGCCCATCGTTACACCTGAGGGCTCTGCCACCCTCCTGCCCCAAACGGAGCGTGACTCTGGTCCCTTGGGTTTGTCTCATAGGGGGTTGCAATGTGCTAATGACCAGTTGCCACCCCCATCTGCACAGGAGCCTTCTCCTGTGTGGAGCCAGCCCAGAGGACAGCAGGTGACCCTGAGTGGATGGTGGTGTCACACTGCCCGGCCTCTTTTCTCAAGGTGAATACACCACCCAACATCCTGCAGAGACATGGGCTTAGGAGCCCAAATCTGTTCCTCAGTGGCTGCTCCTGGAAAGATTCTTGATCCCTTACCATTTCTTTCTGGGCTCAGAAGCCCTTAGCACACCAGGGTGAGGTAAGGACATGCAGGGAAGGCGAGATCCACATTGATTTTTGTTCCCCACCCCCTTTTGTCAGCAGGAGCTGGAGTTTGAATAAGGCTCTGATTTCTCTTTCAGACTTTTTGTCGTTGGGAGATGAATGTTGGGTCTAACACTTGCAGCGGGGTTTGCACCAAAACAGCATCACTGTCAGGAAGGGGGACAGACAGTGGCAATGCTGCGGTGGTGGCAGGGGATGTCAGAAGTCCCCAACCACACAGACTGGGGCAGGAGGGGACAGGAGATCTCCTCCAGCCCTACCCAGTGGCCCCGGCACGGAACTGCCTGCTAGTTGCACTTCTAACCACTGACATGATTTTAAGAAGATTAATTCTTCTTAAGTAAACTGGGAAAAGCACTACAAAGCAGGTGTATCGATCCCACCCTTCCACGATTCAGCAGCTGCATAATGGAAAGTGTCTCTCATGCCTCCACAGACACTAATGTCTCATCTTTAGTCTTATCAATTATTCAGATAAGAACCATACAACTTCAACATTAGCAACTGCAAACAGCCCTGGATCCCTCAGGCTGACGTAAGAGAGAGGAGGGGAATGGAAGACCATTTCTGTGCTGCAAAGCTGGAAGCTGATGGCTTCTGCACGTATCATAGAACAGTTCAGGTTGAAAAGGACCTCAAAGACTATTAACAGTTCAGGTTGGAAGGGACCTCAAAGACTTAACGAATTCCAACCCCCCTGTGATGGGCAGTGACACCTCCCACTAGACCAGCTGAAGGAGGAGATGCCACTCTCCACCAACTAGTGTCTGATTGCCCACCTCCCATACCACCTTGGGTCTGGTTCCTCTGCATCTCAAAAGTCTTACCCCAAAATATAAAATGACGTGAAGAGTTATGGTTGTCCCACACCAGTAATTTCTTCAAATTGCACTACACTTTCCTTTATCACCCCTTTTACTCTGCCACACAGAAATACAGTACACAAATACAGTAAAAAGTGACAGAGCCTCCAAAAGCAAGGATGATACTTGTTCAAGAGACATTCATCTGCACAGACACACTGACCTGGGAAGTGTTGCGTGCAACCAGGGACAGGAGAGAGAAGCAGGTGGGAGCAGGATCTGCACAAGCTAGAAAGCCTCTGTGTGTGTGTGCTTAACATCTGCAGCCCTGCAGGGATCTGCTTTGGGTTCAACACTTGACCCCAGCACACTGTGGTAGAGTACTCCTTTAAATACAGCGCACATCATCAGTCCAGAGTGCAGACCACTTTGTTTAGTACACAGCATACACAGTTTACACACACAGATCTTCTATTTGAGCAAACACTCAGAATCAATTATCTTGTTAATATCTGCCAGATTAGCTAAGAACCCTCAAAACTTCATTTGTAGAAAGCTCTTCAGGCAAGCTATCTTCCAGAGATGCATAAACCGCTGTTCCTATTAGCTTGTGTAAATTAGTGTTAATAATTATGGCTCAAATTCCAAATCAGCTATTTGTTTTTTCTCCTTAGCCCAGACTCTCTGGCATTACCAGTTGCTCCACTGCTCTGCTGTGATTAGTCCCACAGGTTTTGACAAGGAATTTGGGATTTTGCGTATAGTAAATGAGGAATAAAGGGTGCACTTTGACGACCAGCTACTCACATGAGTCACCCCTCACTCCAGCAGAGCTGTCTGCGTGACGACTCCTCTCTGCTGAGGGCAAAGCCTTCCCAACCCAACCCTGGATCAGCCAGTAAAACCTGTATGCCCCAGGAGCCTCTCCCCAAGCCCTGTCCCCGTTCATCTTGGCCGCTTGTTGCACGAACGGGTTGCACTTACGACATCGATGAGCTGGGCGATGGACAAGCCGAAGCGGACGAGGACCACATCAGAAATGTTGGCGACGGGGCGCGACCACTTGTTATAACCAGAGAAGAGTTTCTTCAGGAGACGCTCCTCCGCGTGGGCTCGAGTTTCCACGTGGCCGAGGGCTGCGGGGAAGGCGTGGGGCACAGCAGCATTAAACACGTGTGTGTAGCTCCAAGCACCGGCAGAACTGGAGCCTTCTCCAAGAGGTGACTCGCTGCTAACCCCATTGACGGGCAAGGAGGGACACACACCAATGGGGGGTGGTGGTGATGCCACCCTGGTGACTTGCCTCCCCGCTACCCCCAGGCTTTGCCTTGTATTTCTCACTCTGTTCGCCCACCCTGGCCAATTCCCAACGTAGGATTTCCATTGCAGAGCAGGATTGGTCTGCAGAAAGTGGGGGCATCAGTAAAACCGTTCAAAAACCACTACATGAGATACTCCTCATGTATCTGGTTTAATTTTTATGACCACTTTGCGGCAACTTTCCGACACTGAAGTCTGCAAGGAGGAAGGAGGGATACTAGAAGGGCAAGGCAAAAATGAAAAGGCAGCCTAATGCTGGGGGATAGGGATTTTGGATCAGATTTACACATAAAAACTGGCATCAAATGCATCAGAAAAAACAAAAAAAACAAACAAAAAAACCCCCGAAAAGCAGACTGAAATTCAGCTGTTCAAACCAGCCTTCATAGCTGGTCTTTCACAAAAACGATGGGTGAGGAAGAGGACGGGGGGAAGAGAACAAATTGGGAAACGAGACCACAGTTCCCCTCAATAAAGACTTTAAAAGTTGGAGGCTGCAAGGAGCAGCCCTGACCCTGCACGTACGCTCCAGGAGCTGTCGGAGGTGCCTGTTGGTTATTAAAAATTAAAGCCACCCTCCTTCCAAGGGGCTGCTGGGGGGGAGCTGCGCTGCTGTGGGGGCTGCACAGAGACATCCTCCGACAGGGACAGGGGGAGAGGGAGCCGGGGGCTCTCCCCGCATCCCTCCTGGAATATGGCTCCTACTTAGTCTTTAGCCACCCTGGATTATACAAAGGGAAGCATTAGCCGAGCGCTGGCTGTACTCTCCCCAGCCAGAGCTGTAGCCCGGAGACACATTAACACACTTTACTCAGGGAAGAAAAAAACCCAGGCAAAAAAAGCAGGATGCTGAGCCCCTGCCCGTGTCCTCCCCTCCTGTCCCCTTCCCCACCGCGGCGTTAACTCTTTCCCCATCAAACCAGGCAAGGAGCAGAAAATAAAAACAAAGCATTGCTCAGGGAAGGCTGGTATTTAGGGGACCTGCAGCCATGGGGCAGGAGGATGCAGGAGTGGGGGGAAATTCCAGTTTCCACAGCATGCCTTTGAGAGGGCTAAGGGAGAAAAGAGCTAAAGAGCAGAGCAGGGGTAGGAAATCTTTCTCAAACTTACCGGGGAAGACGCTGGCACACAGCAGGAGGAGGAGGTTTCCTTTAGACGCGAGAAATCCCATCGTGGAGCAGAGCTCAGGCTCTAGTATGCAGAGTCTACTGCCAGGGCAACTTTTCCTCTCTGAGTCTCTGGATCCTCCAGCTTCATTCCTCTAAACTCCTTTCTCTTCTTCCCTCTCACCTGTCTCTGGGAAGGGATAGTAGCCGATGGTTTGTTTTTTTCTCTTCTCTTCTAACTGATTCCAGCTCTTCCTCCTAGAAGGATGCTCTTCCCTGGGACACAGATGCACAAATACTCACAAGAGATGCACGAGGGCTTCAGAAAGCTCCTGTAAAGAGACACAAAATGCCTGGGCTCTCCTGCTTGCTCCTCTCCCCTTTTCCTACGGGGCGGTTTGGCTGCTCGCTTTATTTGTTGCTGCTGCTCCTGTTATCACCCTTCCCCCAGCCCTTTGGGCAGCTTTTGCTCAGATTCTGCTGCTGACGGGCCACCGATGCCCACGCCAGCCCTCGGTGGAGCAGCGAGGGAGCACAGTGTGTTTGTATATTTAATGTAGTTAGACCTGCCCACCTCCTGCTTAGGAGGAGGAGGAGGAGAGAATCCCTGCTCTCCAGCAAACAGGCAGTGGGGAGGAAAACTTTTAGCATGAGAAATAAAGGGGGAGATGCAGAGCCCAGCTGCAGCCAGAGGTGGTGGATATGGGGCCATCTGGGACCTTTGTAGCACCTGAAGCCCAAACAGTTGTTAATTAATGAAAGCTGTCTCTTTAATCTTGTCCAAGCGCTCTTCAAAATCACTCCTCTAGATTAACGGGGTAATTAGCCCGAGAGATATTACTGGCCTGGGCAAGTATCTCTGCTGTTGAGTTATTGGGCTGATGAACCTGCCCATGGGAATAGGGCTCTGCTGTGCTTGGTGCTGTACAAACACGGAGCTGAAATACAAATATTAGTCTCTGCCCATAAGCAACATGCAAATCAAAGGTGAGACTGAGGCAAGAGGTTACTTGAATATATCTATATTCTTGAACATACCTTAAATATACCACAAACAACTCCACTGAAGTCATGAAGAATTTTTTGTGGAGGAAAGGGTAATTCCTTGTGTTAGCTGGAATTATCACTCCAGCCCTTCATCTGGCATCCCTGATTCCTTGCACGGGAGACGTGGAGTAGAGCCCTCTCTGTTTCATTTTAAAACTAGCTTTGATATTAACACAGTTACTTCCACACGGATAGCAAATGGATTTCTTTTTCAGGCAGGGTAATTTTGCCAGCTGCAAAATTAATCAAAGTCTGTTCTAATAATACTGGCTACATATTTTATGTATAATAATTTCCCTACTCCTGAAGCATCTCAAGTATCTTTCAATATAATAGATTGCTGGCTGAAAATGGGAAGGATTAAAACCACAAGAGAAATTAGGTCTGTAGTGAGATTATAAATAACATCAGTGTAGTATCAAACTTTACTTGTCTTTTCTTGTCTCATCTCTTCCTCAACAGTTGTCAGCCTTTTCGAATGACAGACCCCACCATATTTTCCACTGGGTGTAAGGACTCCTGACCCTCATTGCAGCACCTGAGCACCTGTGACACGCTATGAAAATCTGTAGTTCTCATTCCAGGGAACCACCAGGTATTAATTTAATAAACAGCAGATGAGGGATCAAATTGACTTAAAGCTGAAGCATGAGTTCCATCCTGAGAGCTGGGTCCTGTGCAGCACTGAGCACCTCTCCATCCCACAGCCAGCAATAGGGTAGCAGAAGGGAAAACATTCCTCTTTAGTGTAAAACTAACATCACTCAGTCACACGCTGCAACCACACGTTCTCAAACACCTATACAGCAAACAGAAAACCCTATTTCTTTAAACCCCTTTGCTCTATGAACCCTGGAGGGAGGGAGTTTGGATATTCCTCAGCTCCTCCCTGGGTCCAGAGATGTGCAGTTCCTACTCCGCAGCATTCAATGGGGAAATACTGGGTTTCAGCCCCTCTAGTTCCAGCAACAAGCACCTTAGAAATTCCCCAAGGCTCATGGTGGGAAATTGGATTTCTAAAGGCCATTTTTCAAGGAGGCTGGTACTCCGTGCAGGTCACACGTTGGGCAGCCAAACCCAAGGGAGCCAAGATCAGCTATTCCCTTTTGAAAACCTTGGCCATAAATAATACAGGTATCCTTGACTACAGGCCCTCCTGGCAGAGCTGATTCAAATCCCATGGACAAACCCCATCCATCTTCACCTTGCCTCGCTTTCTGTGCTGGCGAGCAAATACTGCCTTTGGATTAACCCTATAAATAATTTTGATTAAAAAAGGATTTCCTTCTTTTGGAAATTAATCGTAAATCATCATTTCCTCCGTGAAAGGTTTATCCCCCACCTCCCTGGCCCTGATTTTATATGATGTGGGGAATGAGCATATTTTACAGAGGTTTCTGTGCCTTGAAGTGACCTTGTTAAATCTCACTGCCGGTTTCTTTCTGCATCATTGGGCCATAACAAAATTTCCATCAGCTCCTGTGCGTATGTGGAAGGCAATGCCTCCCACTGGTACATGTGCAAGGGACTTGGTCTGACTGGGACAAAAGATGGCATTTAAAGATTTTAATGATTTTTTATTGTGGGAGAAAGCTGCGACTCCAGCCTGATTCTCAGACACCCAGCTCTCAGCCTCCTCATTATTATTATCTTCCTTCAACTGAAAAAGATGTGGATAATTTGGGTAATCCAGATGTTCACAAAAACTGAAGGCACACACCCCAGCTATTGAAGATTGTAGACTGAACTAAACAGGACTAAGGCAGTGTTTCCCCCAAGGTTTTCAGTGAAATCTCAGACTTGTCCTTGGAATAAGGGCAAGCCAGTATCAAGCTCAGGTTCAAGTGTTTCGGGTCATTTAGTAGAATTCCATGATTTTGCGAGAATCTGGTAACTCTGGAATCCACTGTCTTGCATTTTGCACTCTAGTGTATATCTTCTCCATTTTAGCCCTTTCTAGTTCAAGATGGAAAAAATTCAACTGCTGAAGGAGGCAGAGACACTCTGCACCAACAGGGAATCCTAGGACTGCACGTTTCCTTTGAATTTGCCCTCTCTCTCCATGGTCTTGCCTTGGATGTCACTGCCAGCTCTCCAGGGCAAGACCTTGGCCCCTGTTTATTTTGTAAAATGTCATCTGCATGCTTGAATCTACAGAAGTGGGACATAATAATGATAATATCTCCTTAGTTGTTCCCTGTTTGGGCTTGACACAGGGGACAAAGCCAGTTAACGGAAACAACCTCTTTGCATTCAAAGGTGATCTGATTTTTCTTTTCTGTCTCTCCATTCCTGTGATAAAGATTTCTCTCTCCTGTTCCTAACTGCTCTGTCATCAACAGAGACTTCAGGTGAAGCAAAAGCAGCAGGAAGAAAACCAACACTGAAGGGGGAGAGATCTCCTTTCAGTGAAATGTGCACTGAAATGAACAGAGGGACGTGAGAGGCTGTTTCCCTCTGGGGAAATCTGCAAGGTACCGCTGGCCTCACAAGAGTGGCTCTGATTTATTCAGATGTATTTCAGATTGTCTGTGCCAGAAGACCTTGAAAGGCCTTTTTAGCTAAATCAAACAGTTTTCCCCATATAAGAGACTTTTGGCCATGCAGGGAGCCTGAGACACCTGCATGGGAGTAAAAATGACAGAGAAAAGCAAGGGTAGTAGCGATTATTTCCAAAACAGTAGAAATGGTTACGAAGCTCAGGCTTCTTTCCTTCTTGGAAGTTGGCTGTGGAGTGGATGGGTTTCCAACCATCCAATACTACTGTTATTATTTCCTAGAGCATCCTCATGGCAATGATCAGACTCTGGGGACAAAGGTGGTGTCATGGCTTTACATCAACGACAGCACCCACAACAAGAACCCAGCTTTCTGTTCGTGATGAGCAACACATCTGACGTGAGATGCTCCAAAGCTGCATCACCCATGTGATTCCTTTCTCGACTAGTTTCCATCACCAAGTGCACACAGTGAGCAGACAGAACTGGCAGCCCCTTGCCTGGCCACCCAGCCCCAGGTACTCGAGGCCACCACAGGCACATGTCCTCCAGCCTGGGCACCACAGTCCTGACCCAGGGCAACCCAAACACCTCCAGCCCTGCGGAGATGCTCAGTGGGACATGGAGCAGATAATACAGACACTTCACAGCAGGGCAGTATCGCTAATGCAATATCTCTCCCCCCTCTCTCTGAGCTGATTAAGATTTGAATCCAAGCGCAAGAGCCCTAATGCATTAACCTATTGTGTTGCCTTGAAATCCTCACGCATTACTGAGCTGGGAGTTAAGGGAGCTCAGCACCTTGCAGGATTAGCTCCATAACAAAGCTCTGGGCAGAATCCAGTTGTATTTACCTCTGGCCAAGCTGTGCTGATGGAAAGCAAGAGCAATTGTCTCACCATTTTTCTCCTGGCTGGTTTCCACCTCTCTTTCTTCGAATCCAGTTGTATTTACCTCTGGCCAAGCTTGCTGATGAAGAGCAAGGGGAATTGTCTCACCACCATCTCCTGCTGGTTCCCACCTCTCTTTCACAGCTGTGTAACGTGGTGATGACCTTTTTCTCCGACCACTGACTCATGGTGTCAACAAAATGCACTAATCCAGACATTTCTTCTTCTCTGGATTTCATCTCCTTCTGTTCCTCACTTAGACTTGAGAATTTCTGAAGAAGATTCATTATTAATAAAGCAACAAGAGCTTTTGTGATTCTAGCTATGCTAAAACAAAGCAACAAACAAAAATGAGCCAACCATTGGAAACAAGAAGAAAGCAAAGCAGCAAGTCATGGGCTCGTTAAGGCTTCCAGCTGTATGACTATTAAAGACCTCACGTTACAAATCAGATGAACCCTTATGTCTTATTTGTAAATGCCAGACTTCATTGCAAAGGGCCCGTAAAGAGCAAAGAGGCAGCTTTTACTTCTCTCGAGATCCAAGAAGATGGATTTTTAAATTAGAGAAGTATGTCTCTCCAGACAAGTTTGTTCTCCAAGGATAGCTTTAGTTTCACTGCTCAGCTTTGTAGATCTAAATTAGGCTCTTGTCCTTCCTCACCAGAGGGCAAAAGCTGCCCAATTTATTTGCTAAAGAAATCTGAAGTTGACTGATTGATGAATCCTTTCCCTTTTCTCTCTATAATCAGCAACAGCTACAGATCACATCTTCCCAACCAGCACAAACCTATCTGAGGGCACTGCATGCTACAAGTACAGCAGGACTTGACGAGAGACACAGTGCCACATCAGCCAGATGAGGTGGCTGAATAAGTTACAACCTCCCCCCAGCTCCTGGCCTGATGTACTAATGTGAAGTGAAATAAATCTGCTGCACACCCTGGGCTATGAACATCAGGGACTCAGTGGTGCACGTACCATCTGTCCAGCTGGAGAGCAGGCACTGAGAGCTTCTCCATCCACCTCTGGTTGAATCAGTGGAGCTCAGGTGGTATCACCCTTATTTGAAA